CTCTATTCTTCGGCTCTTATATTTTACCTTATTGTGTTGCAAGTGCCATAAAACACTTACTAAAACTTTTTTAAAAAGCTCAGTATTTTGTTTTCTTTTTTATCTCTCTGTTTGAGTTCCATTTTAACCAATGCTACTTTCTGACTCTCCCTCCAGTGTGCGGCGTAACGTGGAGGTTCTGCAGAGAGCCCTGGAGACGGTAGTGGTTCCCATCTTCTGCACGTCCAGTCTCAGCGCCGACGACGACAAGATAATGAAACTGAACAAGGTCGGCCTTGGACAAATGCACGATTGCTTTCCAGTGGTTGTTTTTTTTTAAAGTTTTAAAAATATTTTCCCTCTTTTAGAAAAAAACCTCTGACTATATGGTATATTTTACCCCCCCAGGAGGGTGCTACTGACTGAACTGTCTTCAGACCATTCTCCAAAGGGGGGACCTTAACCATGTTCTTATGCACAGTGGAATTGTAAATGGGCTGATTCATCGATGTCATGCTTATAACTGTGCCTGAACTACAACAGGGAACTGCTGCTTTTTCTTTCGCAATCTTTACTATTGTCAATTTTTGCCTTTACTTCTTTTGTATGTTTGTCACACTCTTGTGACCCGCTATTAATTTCCGGGGTGCCTTGATAGTCGAAGCAGCCTTTGTACTGTTGAAGCTAGAGAGGTGAGCAGAGTAAGTCTGATTCCCTGTAAGGACTTCTCTGTTGACATCCATCCCTTGGTGCTCATATGACCATATGCAGTTGCGAGCACCGTAAAACCTCTACTACTACAACAAAATTTGATATATTTGATTGTTAGTGCTTAAAGCTGTGTTGACTGTAAGATGCTAACTGGTTTGAAGTATCGTTTACATGTAGGCATTTATGTGTACAATACATTTTCTTTGGGTCAGATTAGCATTGTGAAGCGTCTGTAACGTTTACTCCCAAGGCAGACTTCCAATGTAATGACATTTGCCTTCACCTTTCCTTGCCTCGCCTTGCCTTATCTTACGCTACTATACTACACTTTTTTGGACTTAACTTGACAATTCCATACTTGCCCTACACTCAATTACCTTATCTTACCATATCATAACTTATCGAATTTAACTGCACTGTACCGTAACACACCGCTCCGGATCCTACCCTACCTACCCTACCCTACCCTTACCTTACCTTACCTTACCTTACCTTACCTTACCTTACCTTACCTTACCTTACCGTAGCTTACCTGACCTTACCTACATAATATTAATATAACCTGGTGTAATCGCAAACACTGTAAAAAACTTACCAAACTGAGACTTACCTTAACCTTACTTGCTTTGCCTCCCCATATGTTTACCTTACCTCACATTACCCCTCATGACCTCATCATATTACTATCACTAAATGTATGTTGATGTATATATATATTATATGTTCCCCCTACAGTTGCTGGAGCTGTGGGGCAAGAACAAGTACTTTGGCCCGGACACTCTGGAGGTAGGACCCGTGTCCTCTCAGCCTTCTGTCTGTTGTATCATGTCCTCTCACCTGTCTGTTGTATGTCCTCTCACCTGTCTGTTGTATGTCCTCTCATCTGTCTGTTGTATGTCCTCTCACCTGTCTGTTGTATGTCCTCTCACCTGTCTGTTGTATGTCCTCTCTTTAATGTGTTGTACATGTGTGTTGAGAGATATAGGACCCATGTCCTCTCATCTGTGTGTTGTTCATGTGTACTGTGAGACATAGGACCCATGTCCTCTCATCTGTGTGTTGTACATGTGTGCTGTGAGATATAGGACCCATGTCCTCTCATCTGTGTGTTGTTCATGTGTACTGTGAGACATAGGACCCATGTCCTCTCATCTGTGTGTTGTACATGTGTGCTGTGAGATATAGGACCCATGTCCTCTCATCTGTGTGTTGTACAGGTGTGCTGTGAGATATAGGACCCATGTCCTCTCATCTGTGTGTTGTACAAGTGTACTGTGAGACATAGGACCCATGTCCTCTCATCTGTTGTACATGTGTGCTGAGAGATATAGGACCCATGTCCTCTCAGCCTTCTGTTGTACATGTGTGCTGAGAGATATATGACCCATGTCCTCTCAGCCTTCTGTTGTACATGTGTGCTGTGGGCTATCAGGACTAGGACACTTGTGATGTCAGGACTGGGGCACTGTATGTGGGTGGTTAGCGGGTGCTCTGGTGTGGTTTGCCTCCTCTTCTTTCCTATAAAACATCTATCATCCTTATTTCGCTTCCTTCTTTTTTTGTGTTTGTTACTCTCTTGTAACACCTCTAATCTTCTGCACTTATATGACGTTATTGTGTTGCAAGTGCCGTATTAGAAAAAAAACAACAGTTACTCTTCTCTGATTTTCTTGTCCGTTTACCCCAATATTAGTTGTTTATTGGCTGTCTTCTTTTTAAAAATTTTTATTTTTTCCGGTCAATTAATGGTACTTTGTAACTGTTTAGTTCTGTTCACAATATCCCTGTGGCATCCTCTGTTACTTTTACGTGTTTGATGAACCGTGAATGTGATGAATGTGGCTCTCATGACGTAGATCCCGGGTATTGAGGTGTGCGCCTATAGTGTGGTCATTTCTGCTGGTGTGGGCCTATAGTGTGGTCATTTCTGCTGGTGTGGGCCTATAGTGTGGTCATTTCTGCTGGTGTGGGCTTATAGTGTGGTCATTTCTGCTGGTGTGGGTTTATAGTGTTGTCATTTCTGCTGGTGTGGGCTTATAGTGTGTCATTTCTGCTGGATTTGTAAAATTAGTTTCCACAGTTAAACTATGGGTTTGATCTCTCTTTCAGCACTATTCTGTGATTGGGGTGTGGGGACTCCAAATTTTAATTTTTAAAACAATATGTGAGGCAGCGTGGTGGAATCAGGCTCTCGTCAAAATTATCAAAGTGAAGAAACTTGCATTTATCTGCTGGGTTGTGAAT